ACTCGATTTCGCGGAACGTCTTCGTCGCCGAATTTCGATGCGCCGCGCTCCAGAAGGCTAACGGGCGCGATGTATAGCTTCTACCCTTTCTTTTTTTTTAATTTCTTCTTTTGGACGCGAGTACACCCAAAGACTGTGTAAAAGACGCTAATTCTAATATCGCAGACATCCCAAGACGTCCAAAAATCAACCCGATCTTTCAGAAGAGAAAAGTTTGAAAGACGAGCATCTCTGCCTCCTCTTCGAAACTCTTTTAAGCTGCTCGGGTTTTCTCCGCTCCGGCGCGCGCTTCCTTTGCCCCGAATAAAATTTCGCCACTTCTCGTCACGATGTTAATACCCGCAGCCTTCCGAAGACGGTCGATTGAGTAATCTCGGCGCCACTCTCAGTCGCCATTTGCCACGACGTGTACAAATCTTGGGATTAATCTTAAACGGTATAAAGTCCTCCTCGTCGCTCTCGTGATCGCACGCGCGATTCGCACAGCCACGCTCTCGCTCTCGCAATCCCCGAGGATCGGCCCGTTCACTTTTCCTCACGCTTCTCTCGCACGCATCCACGCACCCTCTACCACCCTCACGTTACTCTATCAGCGACTTTCTTTAGCAGTTAAACCGTATCCTGCGAACTGTTATTCTTTTCTGCTCTTCAACGAAGCTGTAGAGAAGTTATAGGAGCCGTAGTATTATATATACATATATACACATACATACGTATATATATGTACATGTATATATATACTTCTTATACTTTATATGTATATATTCAACGATAAAAAAGATTCGATCGAGTCGACCGAATGTCCGTGTCACCGCAGCGGACGGTGACAGCTCTTTCCTCACGAAACGTGATCTTCGAGCGGCCGTTCAATTTCTCAGAACTTCTCCCTTTACGCTGTGTCTCGCCCGTGGATGAGATGCCGCCCGAAGACCAACCTTTCGAATCTTCACCCTTAAAACTCGCGCAAACGTATCGACGACATTAAAAATTTTTGATAACAATTTCTAAAATTCCTCATGCATCGTGACGCACGTGTCGCAACCGGTTTTCAGCGAGACCAGGGAAAAGTACGTAAGTAATATTTGATATTTTGCGAGCATTTGAAAATTAAATTTAAATTGCCTGTAAGTTTCCATTCCAATTTCAATACGCACATATACTTTTAAAATAAAATAAAGCTGTCCAACATACAATTTTGCGTTTACTCGACATATATCTTTCACTCGTCAAACTGTAAATTGCAAGACAAAATTACGGTGTCGCACGCGTTACATTATGCACAGGATTTTACGTGTCCACGAGTCCGTTGAAATCGAGCGAAAACTCAATCGAAAGAAATGTCTGTTCGTAAGACAGCAAGTGTTCATTGCGTCCAAAAGTATAATTATTCGGGGCACTACAGAATGGCGTTACTTTTAAGTCTGCTACTGATAGACGGATAACGTATCATCGTTCATACTGATAACATCCGCGAGTGCATCGTAGTTCAACGTGATATGAATGCCCAAATAAAGTGGGCTTACTGCTCGCTTGTAATTAAATCTTGCTGCATAAGCTATAAATAATCGTATCACGGCCGTTCAATGGGTACAAGCCTACTTTCGACGGGCGTGTTAAATCAGTGAACGATCAACAGTCAAAGAGAGATACAAAATAAAACGCGTTTAAATCTGACGGAATATCAATAGTTGCGAAATAGTTGTATCACAGATAGCGTGAATAGACCAACAACATTAAATGCGAATTTTGCTGTAAACGCAAAAAATTGTATTAAATATCTAATATCTAATATAAACTTTAGATATGGTTGTAATAATTATCATCATTATTAATAGACTTACATTATCCCGCGAGAACATTCTAATTAAAATACATAATATATAACATAAAATATAATATATAACATAAATACATAACATATTAATCTTACCATTTTTTTAATGACTAATGTACTCCGTTAAATTAAAAGAAAAAGTTTTTAGCAATATCAAACTTTCTGTTCACACACGCTGGCACTGATGCGATCGTAAAGGGTATCAGTATGTAATGAAAACTACGACAGAATACTTTTTGCACACCAAATCAACACGGCTAATGATTTGAGGATCCAATCGAGTAGTCTAGTCTTGAACAGACAATCTTAAACTTCGACCTATAAAATCTTTAACTCGACTATCGCGATGGTGTCGTTAACAACGTCGATTTTATTCACGGCGACACGTACGTAGCGATGTCTTCGAATTTCCTTTTTTATCAATTCGGTCCTCTCCCGCATTCTGCCACCCATCGAGAACAAATCGCAGCACGCCGGTGCCGAGGGTGATTACGCAGAATCAAGTAGAAACGCGCGCCGAAACGAAACGAGTTAAGGGAGAATGAAAGAATCGGTATTGATTGCGAAACTCGAGGATCTCGCCAAGAGGTTCCTCAAATGCGTGCAGCACATACGTGCGCAACACTCGTATACTTGATACGTACGTATATAGTTCCGTACGTGTATATATATATATATATTTTTTATATGTATATATATTTTTCGTATGTGTATATGTGTACATGTGTGTGTATGTGTAGGTATATGTATTATGGAAGCGCCGAAGATACTCGCACGAGATTTTCGAAACTATTAAGACCTCAGACGTATGCGGGAAAACGAGACGTACATATCGGACTCGCGTGGAAAAGATTCAGTTTGTTGTCATCCGTCGAACATCGTGTCCATTTTCGTATTTTCAAAAATCTCCCCGGTAATCTTTTTCCGATCGACTCGAGACGTGTGTCAAGCCCAAGTAATAAAGATTTAGCACGCTCGTCGTGCTTCATCGAACTACTGCTACCGTGGAATCTTGCGCGATAAGATTCAGATGAAACAATCGTCTATTCGACGACAAGTCTTGTTTCGTAAAGATACAAAAAATCGCGGATGCTTCTGTACCGCCGGCGGCGGCGGCGAGGGGGGGGGGGGGCACGAATCGTAGAGAAAATACGAAAGATGGAAACGAGGGTAAATTTGTCTATTCTTTTTAGGCCCTCGTGCGTCCTCGCGTGAACGTCGACATCGAGCTTTGTACATTACCTTCGAGATCCGCGACTTCGGAAACGCCGGGATCACACTTTCATCGCGAATGTCGAAAGCCTAAGATAGAATCGTATCTCCTATGGGACGCCTCTCGTACGTTTCGGAAATGATTGTTTCGCTAAGCGTGTCTCCCTTCTAGTTTTCCAAAAGAAACTTAATACCGAGTCCTTATATCGCTGCGTACTAAGAGAAGAAAAAAATAAACGGTGAGAATGTCAATGGTTCGTAAAAAAATATTCAAATACGCGCCGTCGAAATGAGATGCCGTTGAATGAAATGTGAACGGCGAAACGTACGAAGGGCGAGCGTTTTACCTTACTTCTAGCGTGGTACGTCAGCTAGGTGATCATGTGTTATGCGATATCCGCTAAAAGGTATTATATACACGCAATATAGTTACGGAGTAGCGTTTCACATTTATCGTACAGATAGACAATATTAACCTGAATGTATTTCAAATTGCGTACTCTAAACAATTCCTATATTTATCCTAACCGCTAGGAGGTTAACTAAAAATCTTAATTTTAGCTCTGCCTTAACGCCGCATCTTACTTTGTTTTTTCACGCTAACTTACTTATATATATATGTATACTTAAAGAGTACACTTAAAATTAACTTCTCGATAGGCGTATATATCTATGCATTAAACTCTTAAACGTATGTCGCATTCGTACACCAACCAACGTCATCGTAGAAAAGAAAGTAGTAGTAGTAGTAGTAATAGTAATATAGTAATAGTATCAGTAATAATAGTAAATTACGGGCGAAAGGATGCATTACTAATGTAATCGATTAAAAATTGGTCTATGGGCCTACAGTCAACGAGCGATAACGCTTGCACAATCACTCGGTGAAACAGTATACTCGCACAAAGAAGAAGTAAACACAAAAAAATACAATGCACATAATATATTATAGACGCGTGTAAACGGGAAAAAAAGGTAAGAGAAAAACGAAACGTTTGCAGCCCTTCTCCCCGCCGGTCGATCGATCGTTCGACCACTTCCGGAAGTCGATCGCTCCTCTCCTCGCAAAAGGCACGAGAAATTGTAAATTCCAAGCCTCTTAGTCTCGTATCCGCAAGCTATAAGAAATCCGTACGTCGTATAGAAAAAACTCCTACAATGTATTATATGCGGCAGGGTTAAAAGTGAAGTCGTCAAGAGAATCGCAAAGACATCGGCCCGACGAAAGACTCGACAGAAAACTCGTCCCGATTCCTTTTCGGTCCTTGCGATTGTTAGCGTTGATCGACGCTAATTATTGATACAATAGGGAGATCGGTTCTGGTCGGCGACGCGACGGGAATGACAGCCGGGGGAAGCCGCCGCTTTGCTAGACAGAAACGGCATCCCCAGGTCGCCGTGTATCGCATTGACGAGTAAGTTAGAGAAGACGAGCGATCGTGGACTCGCTGCTCTTCGGCCTACTAAATGTACCGACCGGCGCCGTCGCTTTTACATCACGTACATTACATCTACTACGAAGGAACAAAAGGGTACTCTCTGGGGATATTTGGCACAGATTAAACGGAATTTTCAACCCGCGACACGAAAACATAGAAGAAAGGAGTCATGTGTGCACGCGCGGATCAAACTGACCAATCGCGAGTTCCGCCACGTCGTTCCACGATGCATTTCTAACGTATGTCAAATATCAAACGTTGCTTGCGGATGCATTTTGATTAATACCTTGTTGTTGTTCGATAGTACCACTTTCTTCTAGTCGGTTCGCGCTTATCCAGTGGTAACCCCGTAATAAGTATCGAAAGAACATATATGTACATATATACGCATATATACGTTTGTATGTATATATATGTATACATATATACGCGTCGTTATATCTTAATAATATTTTTCCTCGCGTCTCTGTTTTCTTCATTTCCGTAACAATGTAAAAAAAGAACGTAAATATGTATATATATTTTATACTCTTTACAAATAATATATGTATATGCATGTAATGTTGTATATGTATATCATACAGCGTACGCAGCTTTATACTAGAAATATTATCGTGGTAGTTACTCGCTTAAGTTTAAAAATGTTCTACCTACTAAAACGGAAGGAGAAACGTCCACTTTGGGTCTCGCGATTTACTCGCGAGGGAAGAGGACTTTCCTCCGGAGGAGGGGAAGGAGAGAGTAGGAGAGGGACTCTTCGAGATTCAATGCGATCTCGTGGCGATCGTCGGAAATGATCAGGAGGAATCGTTAGTATTTACACGAGATAAAGCGCGATAACGAAGTTTCGTTTTGACAAACTCGGCAATGAGGATCCTTTCGTCAAAGCTTCAGAGTTAGCTCCGCCTTCGCCTATAAACTACGTCCGCGATTTAAAATCACTTTGTCCTTTCTACCTAAAAATCTTTCGGTTGCATCAATTATCCTTCTTAGCGGCCCTGTCAAGGCGAAGGCGAACGAAGCGCGTAGTAGGAACATACGTAAAATCCATCCCTTCGTGCATCTCGCAGAATATATCTCCCCGAATGCTTCAGCGCGAAGGGAGAGCGCGCGTGATAATCGATCGCGACGATCGTCATCACTTCTCCCGTTCTCTTTCTGCGAGCGCTCGATCTCTTGAGTCGGTTGAAAGGGATTCCTCATTTTCGAATGATAAATCACGATGATTTCGCGAGGCGAAATACATCGTCGTTCTGAATGCATCGTTCAATGTACGGGACGCGGAGTGTTGTTAGATCACGAATGCTTCACCACGATTACGCCGGGCCGCTGTTGGGTCTGCTGTTGCGTATGAAATTGGAGGAAATGTGGCTCGGCGTGCAGTATCCGCTGTTTCGCGGGTGCTGCCGTGGCAGATGTCGTCGCGGACGAAGAGGAGGAAGAGGAGGAAGCGGACGCGGTGGTCGCAGACTTTGTTGACGTCGTGCTTGCCGTCGCCTGTTGCTGTTGTTGTTGCTGCTGCTGCTGTTGTTGCTGCTGCTGCTGCTGTTGCTGCTGTTTGTTGGTCAGTGCCAGCGGCACATCCTGTTCATCGCTAAATAAGTGGTCGCCCTCCAGGTGACGTATCGCCTCGACGATCGTTTCCAGGTTCTGTCGGGACGTGTTCGCGATGTATAGCCTTGCCTGTGGCGTACCGTCGTCCAAGGAGTTCGATGGGGAAGGCAACCTGCGGAAATTGATGAGATTCTCGTTAGTGCAAAGTCGACTCTTTTTATATACTGGAATTCTTACGAAAAATCGAACCTACATTACTCTTATTCTAGAGAGGACCCAGCAAACGCAGAACATTGCAGCAACATTACAGCAATTTGCAACAATGCCGCAACGTTACTGTAATGTTCTGTGTTGGTTGGGAAAATGCCACGTGACATAGTGGCTGTTATATTGTATTAGATAAATTAGATATTTGAGACAAAGTAAACTGCGTCATATTTCAAACAGATCAACTATTGACTCGGGCCCACTTTTACCCTCCATGTCTTTAACACCAATTGGGATTAGTCGCAATAGAGATAAACGCGTCACACACCTCTCCACCTCGACTTTGGGCTCAGCCTTCATCGCGGCCTCCAGGACACTGGGTAGCCGCTGAGGTTCGGCGGTCGGTGAGTAGGACCTGCTGGGACTCGCGGTGATGTACTGAGGCGAGCCAGTCTTAAAGTCTGCGGAGGACGAAGTGGCATACGTGACACGACTTGACGACGAGAACGAGTCCGTAGTCGGCTCCTCCATCGCCGTGAACACCTGATTCTGGGTGAAGGTGACGATCTTGGGAGTACTCGCGCGTGACTCCTCCTCTTTGATCTCTTCCGACACCATGTCGGTTGGCTGTGGCGACAAGGGCGGCGAGCTTGGGTCCGGACTGGACGTCTCCACGGTTTGATTGGAGCCCACCGGTGGTAAAGCCATGACCGACACCACCTGAAGCGCGGCCACCGCCTCCTCCGTTTCCTGTGCCATCACGTTATCCGTGTGCTCGATCACCTAGGACAGTAGCGATTCTCGTTAATTTTTTATTATCGTACTTGCGACATCTGTCTCTCCGCGATCCGTCCGTTCGCAGCAAAGGCCAGATCGATTGTTTTGCATGCCATCGGGTAAGGGGGGGGGGGGGGAAGGGAAAAATAAAAGAAATCGATTCAATCGAAATAATAAAACGGTACACAGCGTTGCAGCGGCCTGTTATCAGACGCAGCTATCTACGCGAGCAATTAAAACAATGTTTGCAATATCTTCTGGCCGGGAAGCATTTAAATCCTCGAGGGTCGAACGAGTTTACGGTTGAATTATTTTCCGTATCGCAGATAGCGATCTCCCGGCAATCGAAATCGCTCGAACATGTTTTCATAGACTATGATATTTCAGTTAAGTCCTCTACATCGTGCTTTTATAACGTTCTCCACAATTACAATTTTATATGCAAAGTTCCACGTCGCCGATCCAATTCCATTACGTTACGCATTCTTCTTCTTTCCTCAACATGTTAGCGATTGAATTAGTTCTTACACGGTATCGTCCGCTTTTACTACGCTCCTTAAAAAGATTACCGAGAGCAATGCCAAAGAGAAACGTTACCTCGTGGGGCTGATAAGCGATTAGCTGATTGTCCCGGAATCTCTCTGGATACAACTGACTCTGAATCGCTCTCATCTGCTTCTCTAAATGCACTCTCGCGTGACGCTCCCTTTCTAGCTGTCGCTTGAGCTGCTCTACATCGGGGTTCACAACGGAATGTCCCTCTGTGGTCACTGTGATTACCGACAACGGCTCGGGGGACATGCTGCCCAAGCCCTCATCGCCGCTCTCGTTGATGTGCATTGGTACACTGACGACGACACCTGAGAAAACAGAAGAAGAGCCGAAATGAAAAGGATTGAATTGCACCATCTTTCAGTAAGTAGGCGACTCAATTGGTCGGCGTCAAGATTTGTCAAAAATGCCCTGAAACGAGGTGAAGTTATTAAAAATGTTCTTTTCTCACCTATCTAATATTAAGCAACAAAGCCGTGCGTTAGGTAAGTAGCTGCATATAAAAAAAACAGTGCGACGTTTTTACGAAACTAATTGATGAGAAAGGCTCATAAAATCGGATTACAGCCGGCGAATAACCGCAATGAACTTTCGTATTTTAGATTTTCGGCGCACACGCCAGCGTGTACCATGTGCACAACCCGTCCGTGCGATATAAATGAATGCGAGACCGTGAGCGAAATTAAATCTGGTCACTATTTACGATATAGAGCAAATATAGAGATCATTACACTTCGCGCGGATCAAAGGCCAGTCCATTTGTTTCGATGTTATATTAGAGCGAAGTGAACGCTACGTTTCCCGTACGTCACTTTATTTGTACATTGTTTGACATCGTAGAACATTACCATGGATTATAACGCGGTAACAATGCAGCAAATTGTGGCGTCGTCCTTGCGAACATTCTCAATCAACCGAACATTTATTAATTAACGCGACTCCCAACGATAATTGCGATTACCGGTTATTGTTATCAGTGAGATCGCAACCGCGAGCGCCGTTAGTTTCCATTTTTTTCCCCCGGCCTAACGCAGATTTAAAAGAGACGCGTCGTTAAATTGTTTTTAATGTTTTCAATTCGTTACATGGTTTTGCGAGGAACATACATTTAAATATTAATCTCTCCACCTCCACGCCGTAACGTTTAATCATTTATTTCTCATTTTATGTACCCGCATACGAGTTTAATTGACTTTCCTAATCATTCAGATAAAACGTGTATCGAATAAACATGTTCTCTTTCCGTACAACTCTGCGTATTTTAATTTTTCATTGTTGCGCGATTTACGCTACAATTTACATTAAAAAAATCAACAGAATCTATTTTAAATAAATTGCTGCGACTTTAAATTAGCTTCTTCTCAATACATTCAAACGTTATTTCATCGGGCCAATAATTATTGTAAATGTTGAGGATAATATTTGAAGGCAATCGGGAGGGTTAACCGCGATTGATCGATAAAAGTGGTTCGTCGGCATTAAATCCGCTTCGTCGCACAGCCGACGACGAACTTTCTGAATATCGCCATGCCATCGAACGGAGGAAACTAATTTACGATAGAACCGGAAATTGAAATTGTCTCGGCCGAAGTTCGCGACAGATACTTTCCGACGGGCACACCGCCGCGACGTCGCCGTCGCCGAAAACGCCACCGGCGTCGAAACAGGAGAGTACCCTTAATTCGGCCCTTGTATTTAGCCCTCCAAGTAATAAAGACTTTCGAGGACGATCACGACGCGTTGCCGTTGCCTGTCCGTTTCTCCGGACCCTTTATAATCCCCGCAAGTTTAATCTCCCGGTGATATTACCTGCTCAATATCCGACGATGCATGTGCAACGACACGTCACGGATTTAATAATTATTTAGACAAAAGGCTTCGATATTACTTGGAGAAATATCGACTTAAATATCGAGGCTCCTCCCCGCTCATTTCATTTTTCGACGAGGAAAGTAATCAAATATCGGGACCTCCAGGAGACTCCGAGAGGATCGTCCTTCATGTAGATGACAATTGAATTAAGTTTCACAAATCAAATTAAATTTCGTGGAAATTTTTCATTTATATATAAGCGATACCATCACTTCGTTATATCACATTAAGCTTCCCTTCTGCAATATCCTATACATCCCTTCGGCATGGCACCGAGTCGCGAAGAATGTAATTACTTTCGCGAAAATGACGAACGGCTCTCTTAAAATGCGTCCGCATTGACCACGTTGTCGACGCGAGATTAAAAAATTCCTGCTCGCAAAATTTGTCACACTTGCCGCGAAATATCGCCACCGGGTGTACTGATTCGGCGTTTACGTATAAGTGAGTAAAATAAAAAAAAACTGCACTGCCGATTTTCGCACATATCGCGACGGCCCCGCGAACTTACCGTAAAAGTCGAAAATCCATAAAGTCGCGTTTGTTTGAAAATACAACGTTATTCACTTGCTTTCGAACGGGAGTTTCGGAGATGCAACAATTCAATTTCGCAATTGCGAAATAACTTATAGGAACTTCGACGTGGCGCCGTATAAAAGCGAGAAAACCGTGAAATAAGCGGATTGCAATGTATATCCGCGCAACTTTTCGCGCTTTGCGCCGATTGTTTCCGCTTTTTGCTTTTACGACCCCAAATTCACGCGGGACACTCGCAATCGCGGTCGCACGAGTGATAAATAATTCAAGTCCATTTGGAAAATCTCGTTATGCGACGGACGATGAACGTTAATTCCATTGCTCTTTACGTATACAAATGCTTGCGCGCAAGCAATGACCGTGATGATATTTTATTGACGCAGTTTTATCGTCATATTTTCACTCGTAACGAGTTTCGTTTGTTTTTTTTTTTGACAGAAAAAAGATCCCCAAGATTTTCTAACTTATGAAAATAAAATTCTTTTTCTCCGCAAAATGTGCGTACGAAATATCTCTTTGCACAAAACAAATTCATTTTGAGAGTCGGCGAGTAAATTACCTTGGGTGTCGGATTTGCGTTTCTTGATAGGTACATCGCCATCATGTTGATTTATCAATCGCTTCAGGTGGGAATTTTGTGACAGCAGTTGCGTTTTCTCTTGCTCTAATTGGTATATGTATTCGGCAGTCTGTTGGAGTATCGCAGCCTGTAACACAAATAAAAAAGGAATTATTTCTTGCCTCGTCGTAATACTTTTTCAATCGTCGAAAGTGTCGCGATCTCTCGCGCCGGAATACAGCGCGAAAGTAAATAATCGAAAGCTTGTTTTCGTGATTGAATCGCGAAATACGCTGATAACGAAAAGGCATCGAAATTTAATATAAAATTGTCAAGAGCAGCCGAGACCAGGGGCTCGAGTCCCCGCGACAAGTCCAGAGCGAGGGGTAAACCGCCGAGGGCATTGTGGCTAACAGATTTGCGGCATTACTGGACATTACTAGGCATTTTTGGGGCATTAAGTTTGGACATTATCAAGATAAAATAAGGTAAAACACGATAAACTAAGACTAAATGCCCACTGGGCGTTAGTAGGCATTGGTGTACGTGATTTTGATCAGCGGTTTACCCCTCGGTCCAGAGAGATCGCATCGCAGGTGCCCCCTGTGCATCGTATGCAACCTGCAGCGCAGGACCATCGACAGAGGAGAAGAACGGCGACTTCCTGTTTACCGTGCCACGAGCTTAAAGGGTTTTACGTGGTCAGGGTGGAAAAAGGAGGGGACCACACCGTATGGGCCGACAACATCCGGCGGTGGCTATCGCGTGTCGTGCGTACTACGTCGTAGTAAAACGGGAATGACTTCGAGGAACAGACCGGCAAAAACAAAAGGGCCGATTGATACCAACTGCGCGCGGGGTAACGGGGCCGGGTGTACGGTTCGCACCTGCCGACAGGTGGTTAACGAACAGATGCCCCGCGTACGCCGCAATCGTAAATGCACGAATGATGTCTGCCCGCCGCCTCGTCCTTTCTCCGAGCAGCCGGTCCTTCGCGTCACGTTCTTGCATTGAAGGGGGGAAAAGAAAGAAAGAAAAGACCATGCTCGATTATCCCCCTCGGAGATGCTTCTTTTTCGGCACTAATTGGACACCAGCCTCGAGCAATCGAGCAATTGATACGCGCAACTTTTACATAATTCTCCTACCTTTATGTATACAATTTTACGCCACACATCTCGCATAGAAAATGCCTTTCGCGAAAAGATGAGTAAATTCAATACGTCTGTTTTACTCATTTCTTATTAGTAGTAGTTGGAGATAATAATTAAACGAGACAATAAATTTTATATGCATACAATAAAGATACGGAAAAGGCTGCATGGATTAAGGGATTATGCGACAAATTATCTTATCCTGACATTTCTGTAGACTAGAAAGTACAATAAAAGTATGTGCTTTGATTAATAATTATTTCAGGGAACTGAGAAAAAAAGATTTATCGCAAGATATGTCGTATCTGGACAGATCTTTACATCTTTATTAAAGTTTCTCCATTTTATCTACTTGAATATGCAAGTAGTCAGAAACGATGGAAACGGATATGCAAATGCAGACGGAACGAATAATAGTTATTAAATGAAACACCGCAAATAAGTTAATTTCAGTCGCCCTCATTTCTACAAGCACGCATAAAACGGAAATTGGTGACATCTAATTAGTATACGGAACGTGGAAAAAATGACGCGTCGGATAATTTCACGGTGAATCCGAACATATCGAGGCGTAACATTATCTCAATCACCATTTGAAGATAATTGCCTAAAAAAAGTACATTAAAAAACGACACCGTATCGCGAGCGATTACAGCTTTACTGGACAACTTGTGCTTAACTTAAATTTCTTTGAAAAATTATAATCGCTCCGTATAAAATATGTATGTATCTTTCAAAAGAATCTAAACAATTCGAATATCTTTTTATTAGTTGGCGGCAATTTTTAATAAGCATCCCCTTCGAAGCCTGTCGTCATTTAAACTATCAAACACCCGAGTAGTTTAAGTGCACGCCTGATGTTCGTTTATACATAGTGTACGATTTAAAAATAGCTTCGTCTAATATCATTTACGTAGAAAAGAAGGCCCAGTGAACAGACAAAAAAAATCCCCGCCGCGGATGGAATTTTTTAAAACACAGGAAAGTGCGATAGAGAGGACCCGCATGTAAAATTAAAGTAAAACTCGCGGAATCGCGTCTGCGTTTAAATCGCGTGATACCAATTTGAAAGCAATTTTACATAACAAAGATACGCGTTGATGATGAAAAGATAATCGATGGAGTTCATTCATACTCCGCGGTATTTAATTGCTTGAACGCGTCCGTCGAGTCGAGCCGCGGAAGGTTGAGAGCGTCACGGCCAACTTTTGCTTTCTCGGGAGCGGAATAAAAAGAATCTCATGGAACAGGTTGGCGTCGATTACCAGGCCGGAAGACCGCGTAGCTCTCGCACGCAGTTTCTACAGTCCGCTCGGCCCAAGCTCCGATGCACGTGCCGAATTCTTGTTAGCCGAATCGTTCTATAAAACTCGACGGCAGACCAAGGCCGCTCGCCCGGCGGCGACGGCGGCGATGATGGGGACGATGTTATCCGCAGGTAACGATTTATAGCTCACGGGACAACCGGCTCTTTCTCAAACAAGCCGCCGTCCCCGGTCGCCTAATTTGTATTCGTGACAATAATTTTTACCCGGTGATGTACCACGATTTTAATTCTAAAAAATTTCCGTGTTGGAATTCAACTCTTTTTTTTTTAGATCTACAGCAACGACAGTTGAATAAAATAATCAGGGAAGATTAGAGCGCGCAAATGGAATTTTAATCCGCCGATTATTGCGCTTGCGACCTCGCCGCCAGGAAAAGTTTAGAGTACGACAGCTGCAGTACCTCGCGTCTGAATGGGATGACAATACGCCGCGATCGATATGGGAGTACGAGATGAGAAGGGCGAAGTAACGCCGGCAGCTGGCGATCGAAAGAGAGGAAAATCCGCTGCAACGCGCGATCGCGTGCCTGAGTTCGTGACCCCACCTGCTGAACTCGTTTCCACGAAGCTCGCAACTCCCCTCAAATAATCGACGAGGAGATGTTGCGTATTGCGAGCGCGAACGCGCGTTAGTTTTATCGCAAAAAGATTCTTTTTCTTTCCCGCCGAACGCGCGGGGAAGAGGTATCGAGTAACTCTTCTCCTTTTAATTAAATTCTTTTAGCAAATTTCAGCTCAAAATCGCCCAATTCGCGATCTTCCCAACTTGTTTTCGCGGTTGTGCTCCGAAAACAATCCAATCGGCTTTCGAGCACCTGCGCGGTTTCGAGTGTAAAACTTCGTCGGTCCGTACGCACGGGTTCTCTCCTTCTGGCAAACGCGGGGCGACGTACGATTTCTTCTCGCATTAAAAAAAGGGGGGGGGGGTAATCTGGGACGAAGGGACTTGAAAATACGCGCTTCTACGCCGCTGTCGTTGCAGCACGCAACACACAAGCCGTGGCATTCTACGACTGGTCACTACTACCACGTGCGCAGCCTCCTCTCCTCCCTCGCCCTTCCGCACACCTTTGCGCTCGGTCCCTTTCACACTTTCTCCGTCTTCCTCGCTCCCTCCAAGGGCTCCGACTCACCGCGTCGAGCCTTTCCTTCTTCGGCCCGCGAGAACTTTCCCGTCGAGTCTCTCCGCCGCCACGGCGATGGAATCGAATCGCTTTCTTCTTCTTGTTGCAGCGGCGGCGGCGGCGGCGGCGGCGGCATTCCAAAACACGAACGCGCCGATACACCCGAGAAAGGGAGAAAGAGAGAAAAAGAGAGACCCTACCGAACTCGCCCTCATTCGGCTGCGCGCTCGCGCGATCGTTTGCAATTCCGCGCGCGAGTCCGACAGGAATTCCCGCTATCGTGGCTGCCCTACGCTCTATTGTTCCCGTTTGCACCGGGAATCCTTCTCTATCGTCATTCTCCTCGACTACAAATTGCCGTCGTAACAGCAGATCAATGGAAACGAACGCAAAAGATATGATAATCGCGTGAGGTGCCGGTTAGGATGATTAACATATTGCTAGAATTTTCATGTGTCACGACCGGGGTCGGCAAGTAACTCGTTACTTGTAACGAAGTTACAGTTACGTCTTTTTTGGCAACTCTCTAACTTAACTTCGCTACGTTCTCTCCATCTGTAACTGTAACTTAACTCAGTTACATTTTTTCGACAACTAATAACTGATTTAACATAGTTACACTAACAGTTACTTTATATATTTTTTAAACCTCCACAAATCGCATTGGGCCTTGCGTTTGCGCATAAACGCCTTTATTAACGCTTTGCAATTCAAACGCAGATTTCATATTTTTATTTGTATTGCCAAAGAGTAAATGCGAAGTAACGATTCGTTACTTCTAGAGTAACTGTAACGCGTTACTTTTCAGAATTGGTAACTTGTAGCTGTAATTGGTTACATTTTCAGCGAAAAAACTGTAACTGTAACCAGATACTTTTATGAAGTAACTTTCCCAACCCTGGTCGCGACAATAATTCCGATATTCACGCGACAGTTCAACGAAAGATTCGCGATTGAATATTTCATTATGTGTTATTACGTTTTTACATCTCTTGGCCGTACAATGTTCCTCTGTCAGTGGTGGATCCGGTCAAATAAAAATTCCCCGGGAGTTTTTACGTACGATGGCAAAAGAGTTAAATAACTGTAATAATCGCGGAATTAATAATAATCCTATTTAAATCTAACTCATAAGCGCACTTAACTTGTTTCCTTTCGCGGGACGACGCGGCCCGGATTGCGGTAATTAATTGCTGTTATCGCGCCGTACATTCTACGCGCTTAATTACATAATACGCGCGAACGAAAATTTTCGAGCAGGCGGAACGGCGCCAATGATTCACCGCGCAAAACGCCGCGCCACGACGCCCGCCGTTATTATTATATCGTAATTACCCTGCTTATAAAAGCGGCAGCTCGCTCGCAAACGCGTTCTCGGCTGGCGTGGCAAAAACACGGAGAGGAGGCGCATGAAATTAACATTCCGCAAAGTAATTTGGTAAATAATTAGTTATCAATTTCCGTAAAAGAGGGTCTCCCTCTCACTTAATTTACCGTAGCTGCTTCAAGTCCTCTGTATTTTGCTTCCGTAAAAGAAAGAGAA